ATAACACTCATATATTATTATTATATTATATTGTCTATAGGATGTTGTATGTGTAATAATATTTGCTTGTGTGTTTTTTTAATGCATTTTAATGATCTTTTAAAACCTAAAAGAACAAAACAATCTAAATAAACAGAAAAAAAATATTGGAAAAAAATACGAAAAAATTGTTGAAGCAATTGCGCGGTTCAACTAGGCTCTGGAGAGATTCGAACTCTCGATCTCCTGTTTACTAGACAGGCGCTTTAACCAACTAAGCCACAGCGCCAGTGATGGCGAGTGCAATAATTTGTTAAATTATTTTTATATCATGGTCGTTTGAATAGTTAGCATTTTTTTGTATATTTATTATTCTTATTAATATCTGCTTATAAATTATTAGTTATTACTCATTAGACCCACAATATGATATGTGAATCTACCGTACACTATTTTAAGCGATTGCATCACATGATAATACATTATTGTGTACATTAATACCTAATATTTGTAGATATAGATATTTAGTATCTATTAATCTACTCTTTAGGTACAACATTAGTTAATAAAACCCATATTAGTATTAATTATTTAGTAATCCTAATTTTAAGTATGTGTGAAATATGTATCATTGCTAAATTGCTTAGTTATTAGTAATTAGCATAAGTACCTAATAGCTAATCGAGTGTCATTTCAACATTGTTTTATGCTAATAGGTAACAATAGGCTATACAGGATCCCTAAAAATTCATAAGAAAGTAGGTATCATAATTTAAAATAATACCCAACTGTAAAATTTGACTTATTCGCCCAGGCAAAGTTATCACAAAATATGGCACTATGTTGGTGTATTTATAAGTTTTAATTATACAGTGAATTTTTTATTTGCATCCGTAGCTCTTTAAACATTTCAATCGTCAGATACAATAATGATTATTGATATCGAATAATGTACGTATCTATTAACAATAATATTACTTTTGTTCTTTATATATATATATATATATATATATTGTTAACTCCATTGATTTACTTAAAGTATATGGAATGAACTTCCTACTTTTTTATCTTATATGATGTTGAAGCTTCGAAGGTTATAAAATCATCTTTGGATCTTTTTACGACTTAAGTATAACGATTGAAATGACCAGTACCCAGTAGGTATAAATTACAAATTATCTTTAGTCATAGATTAAATATAGGTAGGTACTTAATATATTTAAATATTTAATCTATGCTATAAACGACTATATAGTTGATTTATTTTGAATAAATACATCAATAGTATAGATAACTAAAATATTTACTACATCTATTTAGTAATAATATTATATAATATTTATATGTAAGCAACTAAAAATTATACTGCACAAAACACATTTGATACCTCAATAATACGTATAATACGTATTTACCTTAGAATAAATATAAATATATATATACCTAAAATCATTTGAAAATAATGTATTTTTATGTTTTCCTTTTAAACAAGAATAAGACTAATAATAAAAAAAAAAAGAATAAGACTATAATACAACTGCAGTAAAATATCTAATATTTTATTACACTTATTCATAAACATATAAATAAGGTGATTTTTTTTTATTTAAACCGGGCAAAACCTTTTATAATTATATCAATGCATTAAAAATTTAAAGATTTAAATATTATTAAGTGAATAAATTTTCGTTAGTTACATTGTAATTAATAGTTATAATTTTTAAACCTTATGAAAAACTATTTTTCATACAAATCTCCTACCTAAAATATAATTTCTAGTATAACTAAGTATACAAATCAAATACCTAAAAGTTAAATAGGAAGAGATTTTTTAAAATAAATAGGTACGTGTTATTTAGTATGGTACGTTTGCTTGCATATTATACCACGTATACTGTACAATATACATACTAAATAGATATCAGATATGTGATAGTGAACATATTGCTTGGACCTTGGATGTTATTATTATATTACATTATTACCTATTATGGCTTGTACAATTATACCTCATTTTATTATAAATAATCAAATATTATTTAACAACATCATCGATCATATTAATCAATTATGATTTCTCATTTCGTTCTGGAAGTTAACCTGTTCAATTTTACTAGTTTGTACCCGCCCCAAACATTATATTATAATAGGTATACTTTATTTTTGTTTACAGTACAAGAAAAGCAAACGGGATTTCGATTGAGTATCATTATGCGTCGTAAATATAGCTTAACTACATGGTATTTTATACTGTACTACTACTTGAGTATACAATTACATATTAATGAGAAAAATGATTTATAAAAATGTTAAACTTTTAAAAACAAAACAATCAATTAATATTGTAGTAGATTAGCTATATCAGTTATATTTTAAAATGCATAGTTGGTAACTGAAAATATATTTGTTTATAAATATAGCAGTGAAGTATTTGCCACATGTAATGGTATTTAGAGTATAGAGAAAATATAATAATAATAATAATTTTTTTAGTATAGGGATATGACCATCATCACCATGCACAATCTAACTATGTAGGTAACATTAACAACCACAGACTATTGTTTTAAAATACAAACAGGAAATAGCCGTATTACTAGCAAGGTACTAGGCAGGAATTAATGTATATTGCAGTTTTCGGTAAATGTTATATGTAGCATTGCAGTATATTCAACAGTGAAAACATAGTGGGCTATTTTGAATTACAAAAATTAATACTTTATAGCAGAAATTCCCAACCTTTTTTAAGCCATGCGTCACCCAAAGTTAGATATTTTAAAAAAATTCAAAAGTGCTCTATAATATTATAGTATTTTGTGTAGGTATTTATAATTATATTATTTTATAACTTAAGTTTTCTCTAACTATATATCATAAAACAATATAATTTACACATATATTAGTATATTTAAAACAAATGAATTATAGATAATTAATGCAATAAATATAATATACACTATACCTTTCAAAAAATAATTTTTTTTTTTAAATTGTGAAAACTATGTATGATTGCTTTATACTAGAAATAATTTCACGACACCCTTAATTCAAATTCTAAGAATTATGGTTAAGAACTTTTGCTGTACATTTTATAGTAACGTATAATATCTGAAATTGTTTAATTGAAAATTTTGGTCGATCACCCCTGGTTAATATACTAATTTCAACGTATAAATACATAGATATACCATGTATATAATATAGCGACAGTGCGTCACAGTACACGTAAATTTGCATATAAATCATATTATTTTTTGCTAGAGTTTCAATGTTTATTTTGCCGCCTCAAATATTACAAAAAGGTATACTTAAAAACGTTTTGGTGAGGTGCAAACACGAGCGCACGCGCGCAGCTCAAACTTCTGTCGTCGCAATGCGGTTTCGTTACCGATAAGACGTTTCTCGTTTCACTGTAAGACCGTACTCGCTCTTAAACATGGCTGTAGTATAAGTACTTATGTATATATGGATTCGTCACATTGGATTGAACATTTAAACACCTCTCTCCCAATCTGTAAAAAATGTCCACCATTCACGCCCTTTGGCAAGCTGCAAGGAACAGCGATCGTGTAACTGCAGCTGGTGTCGACAGTTGGAATGCTCAATATCGTAATATATATATATTATACTATACGATATTATCGTATACATTTTAATCTGCTCGAGTCAGTGTTAATGATATTTAACAATTTACTATAATGTATTAATTTATTATAGATAACATAAAATAATCGGTCAGCTTTGTGATGAGATTTTAATCTACATATCAACATAATAATTAATAATATATATACATAACTCAGCACCGTCTCGGTACCTACCTACTTTAATCATTTACAGTGAAATTATGTTTATAGATACAATTATTTGGTGAAGTTATAATAGTATAATCGCTTGAATGTGTTGATAAATTATCTATTTCTAATATATACTAGTCACTTGGTAATTTATTCACCGAATATGATCGTTGATTACTCCAAATTTTGATTTAATTAATTCAATTTCTGATTTTTGGAATTATTAATTATATTTAAAGACTTTCTTTTAATATATTTAGAATATTTACTATCTTCCTAACTAATACTATTTAATGAATATTTTTTAATGATAATATATTTATTTTTTTATTTTTAACTAAATTTTTAATTAGGTAAGACATTTTATAACATGTTGATAAAAATAAATAATTAATAAAAATTCAAACAAGTAACTGCAATAGGTATCTACTTTTTGAGTTAATGAAAATTGATAATAGTCTTAGTTATTTATTTATTATCATTGATGATAAGGTTTAAAATACACGGAAGTTAGGTATGATAGTGTCTTTATTTCAATTTTCTATACCTAAAAATATATAGCTTTAACAAGTAAAAAATTTAGTTGCTGTTTACTACGAAAATAATGCTGTCGGTACAATGTCTGTTATAAAGCCATATTATCCATAATAGATTTATACATATATAATATTATATTATCTAATTAACTATTTGTCTATATATTTAAAGTATATCAGCGTTCAAAAAAATAAACACGTACTTTAAATACCTACAATATTTATTGAAAAAAAAAATAAATAAGGATTCGTTGAAATTTACCAACTTAATATGATTTTGTCAATTTAAACTACAAAGAATATAATATAATCACTAGCATTAGTCAAATAATATTATGTTAGCAAGGAAATAGATAATAAAAAAAGAAGAATTATTTCATTGAATTAGTGCCAATTTTCCTTTAGATATAAGTACCTACCTAATATTATGAATTAAGTACAATTTAAATGTTAAATTCTAGGTATATAGGTTAGGTACCTAGTTATAAGACTGACTAGTTGAAGGTAACAATATTAATAACTAATAATTATTATTTATATAGTTATTATTGTTTGAATACTAATATCAGTAATATCATTAAATATTATTAAATGCTGATGTTGACTAACTATAAACAAAGTGCATATTATTACAATTTTAAATTATACTATGAGCTAAATACGTTAAGTATGTTCAGCGATGGCCACTGGCGCTGTGGCTTAGTTGGTTAAAGCACCTGTCTAGTAAACTGGAGATCGAGAGAGTTCGAATCTCTCCAGTGCCTTGTTTGCGAACCACGCAACAAAAATTGAGTTTTTGCACTTATTTTCTATTTTTTTTTTTTTCATGTTAACTTTCATACCTAATTTTTATAATTTATTTATTTAGAGAGATACTTTTATTTTTTATTAATATTTAAAATAATTACAATTGATTTTACATATTTTATAAATTGTGCATTTGAATAAGTTATACGAATTATACACTATTAATTTAAACGGGTTATGAGTTAATGTGCTTAAACATAATAATGTTTTACTAATATTATATTTAACAACATATTTCTAACTTTTAAGATTCTATGCCTAAACGCAGTAATGTATTGGTTTTATAATATAGTGTTTTTTATCCAAAACATTTTTTAAAGGAGAAAAAAAAAGCATTTACTAGTGTTAATATATCCATTTTGTTAAAAAGATTTGAATATAATAGTATTTCTGGACTTATAATTAAATGGTTTAAATCATACTTATTTAATAACATTTAACAAGTTATACTTATTAAGTTATTCATTTTTAAAGTTACATCTAGATGGTCAAATGGATACCTATCACTTATAATCTTCTATTATTTATTAATTACATCAAAAATAGTCTTAATGTTCACCGATGACCTTAAGCTTTATAGGCCAATTTATTCTACTAATGAAAATTATATACTTCAATCTGATAAAGATAAAATTTTATAATTGGTGTTCATTGAATGGCTAAATTGTTAATGTAAATAAATATTCTCAAATCTCTTTTTCGCATCAAAACTCAAACTTAATATATAAATATAAAATTAATGGTCTAGATTTAATAGTAGTATCATAAATAAAAGATCTAGGTATTCTATTATCAAGACATTTATCTTTTAATAATAAATAAAGCTTCCTGTACATTTGAGTTTATACACCAAAACTGTTGAAAATTCAATAATCTAAGTTGCTTAAAAGTGCAGTATTTCTCTTTAGTTCATTTAATTTTAGAATATGGATCAGTAATTTAGAACCTTCGTCAAGTTAGTTTAATAGATAAACTTGTTCAGAATAGCTGGTTTATATGTGTATTAGCTTATTAAATAAACAAAACTGATACATGTCTTAAGTAATTGGCAGAATATTTTAACATAGAGCCACTTGAAAAGTGAAAAAAATGTATTGATGCATGTGCTCTGAGTCTATAAATTACTTAATTCTCAAGTTTAATGTTTTTACTTAAGAACTATTGAGTCAAATACCTTTCAATGTCCATTGTTTTAAAACTCGTGTATCTTAAACATTCTACACAAATGCCTACCGCTAAAATTAATGTCGTTTTGTTCTTATTAATAGAATATTAATTAGAAATTCACTAAAAACTTAATTTTTTTTAAATAAAAATTCAACCAGGTTAAAACCTTTGATCTAATCATAAATAGTTTACCATTATTATCTTTTAATTATCTATACATTTTTATTTGTTATATTATATTCTGCACGTTAAACAACTTTAAAACGCTTATGTATGTTTTAATATTGAATCATTTGCACTAAGTCCATTATAAGCGTTTATTATTATTAAATAAATAAACCTTCAAATAACACTGAGAGATGAGTCATCATCGCCGACAATTAGCGGTAATGTGCTATGTAGTAGGTACGAGTATGTATCATATACTCGTCAGTGGTTTATTTTAAACTCTTAGAATTCAAATAATTTATTAATGTTTTGTAGAATTTAAAATATGCAATTCTATATATTGAAATTAACTTTATGATCCTAATATAAATAAATAATAAATACTGTGCTCTACACATAGTCGAAACTGAATACATTTTATACTGTAATAACACAAAAGCTATAGCAATATAATATTACCTGTAATAATGCCTTAAGTACAAATACAAAATTTTCACTCAACGATTTGTTTCGTACCTGAAATAAAATAAAATATATAATAAGTATATTTTAGTATAGTTTATCATAAATCATAATATTTTACTTAAAAGGTATAATGGATACATTAATTTAATAAAACATATTTGGATGTTCACGCAGTTATTATTACTATTTTTTTTTTAAAATAATAAAAATGATTTCGATGTATATAATGTATTTCGAAGGGTGTATGGACAAGAAAATAAGTCAATTTTGTCATTTTTTTTTTTTATATATATCAATATATTACGCTATATATTTATAAAACGATAATTTAGTTTTTATCACCAAAATATAAACAATTTATACATATTTATTTTTTTGATAAAATTAGCTGCAAAGTATGAAAATCTATTATAGACAATACCACAATCATTTTTAGACTTTTTTGTTTCTTGAAAATTAGTGATTTTACTAATAATATGTATTTATACATAAATTCTAAAATTAAGTTTTATTTATCCGTTAACTGTATTGTCGTATCAAATGGTTTTTGCTTAAATTAATGTTTTTACAGCTTAATTTTATAATTTGTAGTAATTTAATCTAAACTGAGCTTAAAATAAAGTGTCAGTTAATAGACATTCCATTTACGGATACGTTACTGTTTTGGGGTAGAATTATAATTTATAGAGTGATTCTTTTAACAGTAATACTTAAGATTATTAACATTTATATATATATTTTTCTTCATTGTTTATAGCCATTATACTATTTAACGTTTTAAAAAAATAACTAAAAATTATCGTAATCATTCTTAAGTAGTTTACTTGATTGAAACAAAGTGGCATTAAGGAAATAACCTGAAAAGTGTTGGTCTATACTTCGCTTAAATAAGCTTAAACGTTTTAGTAAATTATTAGTGGAAAATTTGATTTTATACATTAAACTTTAAAAAATAAAAATACTTTGCCTCGGAAGATGAAATTAAAAATATGTATTGTTCAAAAAAATAAATTAATTAAAAAATAGTTAAATATACATATTTTTTTCAAAACTGTTGATTTGTTACGTTTTCAAATATTGCACAAAAAATATTTTCAAAAATTATAATACATTTTGTTATAACGTATATTAATATGAAAAAGAATCACTTAACATTATATAACTAAGTGTATTACAAATTAAATGTTTTTGTATAAATTAGAGTAATCATAAAAACTCTATCAGATCTCGCGTCGTTTATTTCAGTCCTGGAAAAACGTTTGAAATATTATACCTAAATATTTAGCTCAGAAAAATGTGTCTAAGAACTTTTAAAAGAAGATTTATGACACGTAAGCGGTGCAACAAGTATACGTATAATATTATAAAGACGACGTATGTGTGTTGGCCGACATCGTTTTCCTGGTAAAACAAATACAGTTCAGTAATATATATATATAGCTAAAAGTATGAGGTATTTACGCAATTGATGCGTTTTTCCGGAACGATGACAGCTGGTACAGTGTTCTTGGACGAGGTAAGTAATACCGGTCATGTGCAATAATACACACCATATTGTTATACCAATATATAATACGCGTGTGTGTGTGTGTGTGTGTGTGTGCAACATCGCGGGAAACGAATGGTTAGGTTAAGAGAAAAAAAGGGGCCGCGAGAAAAATATAAGAGCCGCGTGCGTAAAGTTTTGGCAAAATTAAACTATAGGTACACCTAGCTAGAACATCCCTCGTCCGTCAGCCACGTATATAGTATATATATATATATTATATATATATATATATATATATATATACGGTCTGAGCAACCGATTTGTAGCACAAAGAAAACAAGCCATTATTATTATCATCATTTTCGTCGTCGTGGTCGGTTACAGATATATTATATTATACACACAGCATCCGAAAGTATAGTATACGGGACAAGGGGGCGATATCGTCCGTCCGCTGATATCTTTCACGTCTTAACGACTAACGGAAGACAAAGTGCGAGTGCGCAACGAATAAACCGCCCCAATCGTACAGAACGACGACAACAACAACAACAACAACAACAACAACGATATATTATATACGTATGTATAATAAATATGGGTAACACCGCCGCACCGGATAATCATCTCGTAAATTAATGTCCGTACATCTATAATATAACTGGAAAACAATTTGTATTTGTGTGTAGGTCTAATGTATAGTGACTCTGTAGGTTGTGTGTTACAGACAGGCGCATTACATCTGCGCCAGGTATCTGTATAGAACGAGATGAGTTCATAATAAATCAGGTGTATATAGAATATTAGGATGGATGGATTTTCAAATCGATAACTGCATAATGTGGGACAGTCTTTAAAAAACAAAACACCGGATGATACAACCGCGTTGTAGAGCGGTTTTTTTTTTTTACTATCCTCTGATTTTAATCCCACTTAATTACGATAATTTAACGTCGATGAAACGAATACAGAAGAGGTCAAGTGAATACTGACCGTTAAGTTTTTGGCTACACGATACTATTATAATATTTTATCGTGAAATAAATTATGTTAACGATTTTTATTTACCATTTGAAAAAGAAAAAACCCGCTCAGAGTTATTTATAGTATTTCTATTGAAATATATTATAGTTAATACGCGATATACCGTGGTACTCATAAAAGTAAAATAAAGTACGATACATAATATCTAGATATTGAGTATTTTTTTTTTAAATTACCATGACTTCTGGTCGACTTTCACAACAATTTTTCAAATATTCTAATTATTCTAAAAAAAAATATGAGTTGCAGTAGGTATATAATGTATTGTTTACATCTCCAATAAATTAATATTTCAACGGTTTAATAAAATACATCAGATATCAGCTCTCTACTCTAAATTTTACATTTTTGACCGGTATGAATAGCTTTGTATTAGTATTTTAATCTAAGTTACAAACACACGTTTAAACCGATATTTGTATACATATTTTCCTATAGATTCGTTTTTAAATGTATTCAATAATGTTTATATAAAACTACAACACTCCTGCTACCGAATTTAAAATTAATACATTATGGACGAAACTATAGCTATATTATACATTATTATGATTTATGAATAGAGTATTTTACTCTCATATGATTTGTTGCTTTCGCTTACACAAAACCTATACATCACATCTACACAATATAATATGTACATAAACTTAAGTCTTAGACTTCTGTATGCAATGACATGAAGTGTTTTATTGAAACACGCGTGCGATCGAAAATTATTTATAGTCTTGGATGGCGTTTTTTTTTTCTTAAAAAAACAACAAACAAAATATATCTACGGAAAAATCAAAATTATACTATACACGTTTAATATTAGAAATGTTCGTAATATATATTATATATTAGGTAGCTATTGTATGATTTATAATAAGAGCGGAGCGTATTGGTTTCCAAAAGGAAATACGCTGACAGCAACGTATGTAATGTATTATACATATTATATTATATTTATATAATATGATATAAAATGCTATTTGAAAAATGACATAAACACGAGCAATTTTTTCTCGCAAGTATAAATGTAAACAATACAATACGCCCCTAACTTCCACCAGGTATAATGAGTTGAATAAAAAAAAAAAAACAAAACGAGAAATAGTAGCATACGCAAGTGCGCTAGTTCGTATAATATGTGCGATGTGCACGTGATTTGTGAGGACAATTTGTCTCAGTGACATTTCTAGGCACTTGACTTTTTCACGGTACACGGATCGTAAAATTCATTTCATCCTGTGTTATTATTCTAGACCGAATTTAGGCAAGTCTACAAATTGTGTACTTTGGTACACTTATATATATATATATATTATACATACTCATATACATATTTTACATAAAGTATAGTAGGTATATACATTTTAGATTCATTTTATTTTTTCACTATATACGTATATATGTATACTCTAGACATTTCACGTTACTCTATGTGTTCTTCCATTCGATTTTATGAGATCATTGACCAATATAACGACACAAGTTGATAGTTTATTTGTATATTATTTATACACATATAATAATATGTTTTGTTATGGGTTAACAAAATAATTTCGAAACGTGAATGCAAAATTGATAGTTTTTAGGATAATAAACAATTAATGAAGTCGGACAGTAAATGTTAGTAATTTCGATCTTATATACGATTATAAAGGTACGGTTTTACATAGAAGATTTGTCATAATTGTTTTTATTATTTGTAAATGGAAACACAACACTGGTATTACAAAGATTTTACAAATAAAGGATTATTGCAGTATACCGTAGATAATGTTATATATTCTATAGTTTGAGGGTTGTTTTGAGCCGTATATCAGTACAGTTTTCGTTGCAGGTGGTGACTTACAACTTGTAAGTAAATATTGTGCCTTACGTATTCTATAACATCCACTGTCGTAAACAATATAATAAAATAATAATATTACGTTGGCGTTTAAAGTTCAAACGGAATGAAATGCAAATTAGTAAACGTCAATGAGCTACAGATTGTGGTGGTGTTGTGGATAGGGGAGTGAGTGGTGGATAATCCCGTATTGAAAAACATGACCGACGGCACGCACGGCAATGTTTGGCTTACTAGAAGGGCGAGATCCGCGACGACGACGGTGATAGCATACAGGGTGAATCATTGTAAAAAATAAGTATTTGGAAATAAATTAACTTTTTTGGCATTTTTTTCGGTTTTTGAAAAATTTAAGATAGGTACACAAAGTTGTACATTTATTGACTGGTTTTCAGTTTTTAAACGGCAGTCTATTTTTGTAGTTTCATTATTTGAAGCATATAACATAAAATAATATAGAAGTTAAATACACAACTTTTTGTAACGCTTTTAACTTTAAATTTAAAAAGATGTTAGTTATTACTCATCACTTTTCACAGTTAAGAGATTTAATAAAATATAAATGAGTAAAAAAAAAAATGGCACCGAAATACGTCTCAAAATTTTGATCCATTACACTTTTCTCTTGTAAACTTTAAATACTATTATAAGTTATAACTAATAAACTACTCGTTTGAAATTCGA